AAGCCAGGCTACTCTTGCTGCTGCAGGTAAAGGCTCGTTAGCTCAGCAAATAAGCAACATGTCGGTAAAGGATGTTATATTTCAGTGAAGAAATACTCTGTAATCCCGATAAAATTTGCTCGATAGCCACGCTAAAGCTAGTTTCATCCGCTGAAGCCGCCATGTTCTTTAGACTGAACTGTCGCGCTTCTCGTTGCGTCCCACCTCAACCCGCCTCAAAGCCAACGCTGATTGGACGTTCGTTTGGTGAATGGCTCCAAATTTTCTTTAACGGAGAGTCTCCTGACTGATCTGCAAGTGAAATCTTGAAAGCTCGCGAGATCAGGATGGTCTCACGAGGCTATCTTGTTATAATCTCTGCTGAATTAAAGAGCTGTCTCACAGTTATTGGGTAATCTAAACAACATTTGTTAAAAAAAATCCTTTGATGGGTCAAACCTAAACAAAAAACACTGAAATAGGATCTTTGGAGGGTTCTAAAGCAGGGGCCTACCAAGGGAACCATTTATATCATCACATAAAATTCCAATGAAATACATAAAAATTTTTGGTTGTTTTCTAAGAAACTGTAAAAACACTCAAATGTTACGAATCCTATTGTATGGCTTTGAATGCGTCACCGAGGTCGGCTGAAGAAAGCTAAGCAAAACAAGCATGGCCTCTGAGAGGGCATGTGCCAGCTGGTGTGTGTTGCAATGTTTCTAACATGACCAGTCAACACTTGTCCTCAATCTAAGAGCCTTACTGCCAAAGAGATTCATGTGAGAGATCTGCTCTACGCAGGAGATAATGCAGGCCCTTATCCATCCATGCGGCTGATGGCTTTAAAGAAAGAAGCCTCCTTGCTGTTGACATTTCCCTGCCCAGCCCATGTGAACACACAGTACCATGGCGGCTACTCTTAGGCTGTCTGTATCCATGACCGATAAAGGGGTGAGTCAGCCGGTTGTTTATCCCTGTCTCCTCCTCTTCCTCCTCTGCCTTGCTATACACCCCCATACGCCCCCGTCAGCCTTGCTCACAAGGCCTTATGTGTACATTCAGCACATGGCCGATTGTATAAATAGCTGCGACCGCGTGGCTCGTAGCTGACACCTGACATTTTCATGCCCCAGCAAGCCTCTGATACATTTGGCGCTTGGCATGCATTCTTTTCCAGGGTTTATCCATCTGCTGGTGCAGAGCCCAACCCCCTAAGCCAATACTATGTTCCTGTAACGTAACACGAGGCTTGCCTTTCCCTCTATTCATCTCAACAGGCAAGCACTGCATGGCACAGAGTTTACCCCTCCCTCCTCTGTGTTTCCCCACTTCCCCCTTTCTTCCCTCCAAATCCACCCCACCCCTGCAACAAACATACTTGCGCTCTACACCCGAGTCGTTTGTCTTCAGCTTTACCATTCAGCTGGTCTCACCAAGATGGAGAACGACAAAAACAAAAAGTAAGCGGGATGGGAATTGTGCGTAGCTGGGGCGATAGAGCTGGCAAACAGAATGTGAGATTGTGTGCAGGCTGAGATGTTCATGGCTGCCCGCCAGGTTCCTCCAGCAGCAGGAGCAGCAGCGGCGGCACTGCAGCATGTCAATATGGCCGTTGCCAGGGAAACAGGATGAGCACACACACCAACGCAGTCCAGAGAAAGCCACTATGCACCCTCTTGCCCCTGTGTTTCCCATTTAAAAGCTCTTAGTAGGAACTGTAGGGCTCTCCTGTCCAGGTTTGTGCATCACTCTGACTTCACTGACTTCAAAGCATCAGTATGACACTGGGCATGAGCCTTAGTATGAATGATGACATTTATGAAGCATCTCCATTAGTTTTAGCACCTTATCGTAAGACGCAAATACATTTTTCAAAGATGAGAATACATAGCCTCTGGTACTAACATGAAAAGGCTCAGTACGATGCTGATCTTGATGTTTATTACAAATTATCACACATAAATCAAGCTAATTTTTAAACACTTGACTCATCTTTAAGAGATGTAATTTGTTTAGATTGGGGGATTTTCTGCAAAAACCATTACTTTATGATGTCCGCTTATATTTATAGATGTCCGCTTTGGTGTAAATTTGCTTTTACCACATATTATGGAGCTGGAAAGGGCCCCAGGTGGCAAAAGGCTGTGAGTTATTACAGGCAGGTCTGAGCTCCTCTGTCAGGCGTTTTCAACGAACAACCTCAGAAATACATCAGGCTGCACTGTGGCTCTGCAGCAAGGTCACAGCTTGCAACATACGAGTGAAGTGTTTCAATGAAATGAGCCACAGTGTATCACAGCATCCAACCAGCCAGCCTCTTACTGCTACTGGAGAAATGCTACTTTATGGGTCGACACTGGACAAAAAAAAAACCCTGCAAAATGTTTCATTTTCAGTTAATCATGTTGGAACAGACTGTTTTGTACTCCGTTCAAATGAATCCTTCTGGTTGAACTTCCAAATATTGTCATTTCAAGGGATAGAACAATAAAATGTTTGGAACATTATAAACTGTTTTCAAAATCCTTCACAGATGTGCTTTTTTATTCAGCTCATTTTACTGTTGCAAGAGTATTCTTTGAACACCTGAAAAATGGACACCAAGGCATAGGCTAGTTGACAATCTGAAGTCTCTTATTTAACAGAATTATCCATTAAGCATACCTTATTTATATTTAAAATGCCTCTGCGCAAACCATCCTAACAATAGAACATGGTAGTGGAAGCAGCATGCTGTGGTGATCCATTTCTTTGTTGGGAACAGAGAAGCTGGGTAGAACTGATTGGAAGAAGGATGGAAATAAATAAGGGCGACCCTGAAAGAAACTGCAAAAGGCCAGAATCTGTGACAGGGATTCACCTTCCAACAGCACAACAACTCTAAACTTTATTTAAAGTGGAGTTTTTATGCGTTAAGAAGGTCCAGTCAAAGTCTGGAATTATATTTAACTTAGAACTCCTGGCAAGATCTGAAAACTGGAATAAGCAGATGATCATTATCCAAAAAAGTTTTTTTTAGATGTGTTGCAAAGAAAATGGGAACATATTTCCTTCTTCAGGTGTGGGAAGCCTGTAGAGATGCAGCTGTAATTGAAGCAGAAACATAGTCCTTGGATGTTGCTCTGTCACTTTAAAAAAAAAACAGCAAGACAAAATAAATTTTTGTCGATAACAAAATGTGGAAAAGGTTTCAAATGTTATATTTCTTCTATTTACATCTATTATTTACAAATAAATCTTAATCGTTTAGAAAAATGTTTCTCTTTTTTTCATCGAGGCAGATTTTCTTTGTGCTGAAGGACAGTTAAAGGACAGATCTGTCTGTCAGCCACACCTAGCTGGCACTCTTATCCAAGTTTGGCTCCGTCTGTGCTCGTCTCACTGGAGGGGGAAGGGGTTGTGCCAACTATAGCGCCTCAGTACTTTTCAGAAGTCTATCTGCGCCTGTGAGAGCTCTAACAGCTGCTGCTGCAGTGTCTGAGCTTGCTCGGGGATGCAGATGAAAGTGCTGATGTGTCCTGTTATTTTAGGTCTCATGGTGCCCTCGAGGGGGCTCAGGAATATTTGTAAGAGACTGGGCAAGAGTGGGTGGGGATGCGGGTGGAGGGATGCGAAAGGAGAGTGCATGCGTGCCCACAGGGGATCTTAGGAGAGAGCTTCTCCCAGAATGCAACACGACACTCGTTGCCACATGGGGCGGTGGGAATCCTGAAGGACGGGGGAGGAAGGGGAGGAGTTGCTGACAGAACCGAGCTGAGCGACGGGCACAGACACGAGCGCAAAGATGAGACGCTCTCTGATGGTTGGCAGTATTTTTGGCTGCAGAGGGGGGGGGGGGGGGGGGGGGGGCTGCTGATGGCCTGTCATCCTTCAAGTGCTGTTCAACGATCCACCCTTCACTTTATCTTTGGTTTCAAAGCTCATTCTTGATACTGGAACCAAATCTGACCAGCCTGTATCTTTTGTACATTTAGCACATTTTTTTTCATCAATAGATAAGGTCTGAACTTTGAAGCTGATGATTTTCTGTAACTCTGCAGCTTTCATAAATCCACGATAGCTCAGTTCAAGTAAGTGAGCTGACAGAGGGAAAATAAAAACTGATGCTGTTATGAGAAATAGCTTTTTTCTTTCAGTCTGTGAACTGATTTACTGCGGCTGCTTAATATTTTTTGTGCATACTTTCAAATTGTCTCAAAAATCACAACACAAAAACAATACCGCATTTATTTTATGCAAGTAAAAACAACATAATTGTCACATTTCTTCGAATACATCAACTATGTGGTCAGTTTAGTGACTGTATTGACATAATAATGTTCTTATAATTGTCTATATTTTAATATAAACAGATCAAAATCAAGTTTAGAAAACTTTAAGATGTTTTCTTACATTCAAAATATGTAGTAGACGTTTTTATTTGTGCCCACTCTGTAAATAAAAGTTTGAAAAGTAAAAAAAATGTAAAGACTGAGCCAAAAAAACTTTGGCAATTGTAACAAATTGTTATGATGACACTATTACGCCAGCATTGATCCGATCAGGAAGAAAACAAGCATGAAGAAGAAAGTCTATCTCATTGATTGGTCAGGAGCAAAACTAGATCATTCATCCTCTTCCTCCATCACTCAACAAAACCTTTGCACCACATTATTAAACTGTTCTTCTAACTTTGTGCTGCTATCACTTTGCTAAATGTTTTAAACACCTTGTTTTTCTCATTGGTAGACAAGCAGCTGATATACATAGGCCTTGTTTTTCTAATTATTTTCTTATTCCACTCAGTCAGATGCTTCTGTATCACATCCTCCCTTGCAGCTGTTTAGCACAATGGGACCTGGAACATTACAAGCTTACTGCTTTAGGCTTTGGATAAACCGTGCTAAGAATGGCAGTTATAACGGTGCCTGCAGACACCAGTTCCTGTCACAGTAAAAATTTTCTGAAGATTTTGTTGTAAAAGCATAATAGAAATTATTTATAGTTAAATGTCAGGACTCAGAACGTTGGACCCAGAATTTTAAACTGCTCTGGGATCTGCGGCTCATCGGCTTGGACAGGAGGACTGGAATCTCTGTAGAGGTAGAAACTTAGGTTAGTGACCATGAAACTCTGAAGGGGAAAGATAGCGAGCATGTGAGTCACTAACCTAGTTTTTAAGTTCAGTCCGAGCACAGAGGAAGGAGTGAGATCCATTCGGGTGATGTTCAGCAGCATGAGGTGGAAGCCGCCCAGAGAGTTACAGAAGAAGAAGCCAAAGGTGCTGCAGAGCAGAACGAGAAGCCAAGGAAGAGCCGGTGTTGATGAGGCAAAACAGAAGTCCAGGCCAGAAGATCAGAGCTCCTAAAAGATATCGAAGGAAAATCCAAGCCGGGGTCAGGAGACCGATCCAAGGTCGTTAGCAGGCAGAATCCAATGGAAGTGCCAAGACAGGTCAGAACAGGGACAGGCAAATTCAGAAGTCCAGCGGCAGAAACCAGTCAGGATCAGGTAATCAGAAACACACTGGGCACGCTAGAGAACTCTCACCTTCGGCTCGATTAATCTGGCACTGATGTCTGGGACCAAGCAGTTTAAATAGGAACTGGAACAGGTGGATCTGATGAGTGAAAAGGAAAACTCGGTGGACCCCGGCAGGAGGAAGAAATAAACCAATAATCCAGCCATCAGTTCCAAGATAGTGACAGTTAAAGTTAGCAGAAATTATGAGCATAAGAAGACTTTTCAAACTGGATGAAAGGTTCATAGTGGAGGAAAAAAAAGCCAATCAAAAATACTCAACAGAACTTACCCATAGGTAAGTTCCCTATGGGTGAGTTTCTACTCATGTACTGTACATACTGTCACAGATAGAAGCAGAGAGAGACCGGGGCTAACATGTTCTTACATTTTCTGTTACTCTAATCATATCTATTATAAATCACCTAGATAGTGTCATTCATCTTTAAGGTTTTAACCAATATCTGACCTCTGCCTTCCTATTTTTAGTTGTGGCTCAATGACATATTTCTGCTGCTTAAAAAAAACTTCCGTCTCAAACTTAATCGACAAGTATAAAAAAAGCCAAGTAATTCAGACTCATTACCTCACAGTATAGTACCAACTTTCCATCCTGTGCATGTGTCAGTAGCCCTGCTGCATATCAGCAGCTGCTCGCTGCTCGTAATGGTATTGCCAGCACTCACATTACCATTAACTCTCTTCTAGCTCTGAATTTTATCTGGGATATTTGCACAGATGCAGCGCTCTAATTCTCATTCTTCTCACTAGTGGCTATATTGTTACAGCCTGTTTTGCAAGGTGTATTAGAGAAAGGTGCTAAGTCATTTTCCTAATTACAAGTCCCCTCTAGCAAAAACGTAGAAACTACATGATTTATTTGGTTGCTGTTTAATAAAAAACTGTTCAGGATTCTCAGTGTTCTCTTGTTCTGCTTGCTCATGTACAAAGGATGCTTTAATAACTGAGAGGGAAACTTCAAACAGTTGCCTGATTTACATACTCAGTGTAAATGTCCAGTTTTAATCCTTTTTCATGTATAATATTCTATGCTGCAGTGGAGACACAAGTTACATTTTTTTTTTTTTATCATCTTTGGTGGTAGAATTTGCTGACTCGTGTATTTATCCTAAACATAAAATTATCTTATACTGGCTTAAATATATAAATGTCAGTATTTCAGATTGCTGTTTGATCTATTAGGTTATTTGGACTGAACCAGAAATTAAAACGGTATGTTTGGCTTTCAGACTCATTTTTCAAAGAAATTACACACATTCTCTTCAAAATAAAAGCCTTAGAGTTTTCATATTTAAGAGCTCTGCAAATGGAGGAGCTTCATTGCTTGATAAAATGAGAAAAATATTCTTCATATAAAACTCTGTTTCCTTTAATAGAAATTGTAATACTTGAGAGTTTAGATTATTGCAGATTCCACAAACTGATGGATATAAAAGATGATATGAATACAGTGATTCTGTGTGCCTTTCAGAATAAAATTTCAAGATATTTAAAAAAATAAAAGTCTTGCTTTTTATGTTTTATTTATTTAAACAGGCTCATCATTGGCTTTTAAAGACCTAAGTTGAATCATTTTGGTCCAAACTTGGCAACATATAAATGTACTTGTGGTCCCGAACATCACAAACCTACGTCTGACCACCATCAAAATCACATTTTTATCTTTCCTCGTAGAGGTTTCTTTAGTTATTTTGAAAGGGGCAGTTTGTGTTTAAAAATATTTGAGTGTTTTGGCTAGAGCCATGTTAGTTTTTGAGTAACATGCTTGTTGAGTCAGATGACAAAACTTGCAGTGTCACATTTGTTTTCCCAACATTAATCATTAGATGAAGTCATAAAAATGGCTCAGTTTTAGAGATCTGCATCGCATGACTGTGTGTAAACAAAGAGTCAAATCAGACCACTTTGTTATTTTAGCCGCTCATGTGATCAGCCCTGCACACCAAAGGTCCGCTGACAGCCTCCCCGGCCCGGGTCCTTTGCAGATTGACAGAGACAGTCTGTTAGCAGAGAAACAAAGGTCAGATTTCCAGCTCACAGAACCAATCGTAACAGGGGGGGAAAATAGGGCCGAAAACAAGCATGCTTTGTTTTCATTTCAACAATCCAGCACTTGTTGTACTCTGAACTGTGATGTCATCATCATGCTCCATCCTTTCTGCGACCCGATGGGCAAAAACTCCAAAATAGTTCTCAACAGAAGGTGCATAGCAATTGAAGGGTAGATTCTGTTCAGGCGAGCAGATCCAGACATGATATAAAGAAAACAGAACTTGCTGTTCGCCAAGTTGCTTTCCCCTGAAGGAAGCAACTGGAGCTCAACAAATCTGTACCATAAGTATTCTGCTATTATGTCATCTGCATGTTTGGATGCGGCAGACAGCCTCAGAGACACATCAACAGATAGAAAGCACATAAACGATTTACAGCAGAGTCTGGAGAGCAGCCTTGAGAGCAGCAATGACTTATTCTCTGCAGAACCCCTGAACAACTAATGCGACAGACCTTTGATGGTGTAAATGATGTAATACTCATGATAAATGTGTCAGGCTTTGGCCTTAGGCTGCTCTGAATGCTTTGGTCCCTGCGGGCCTCATAGGCCAAATGGTCCAAAGCGGCCCCATCAATACCAGACCGAAAGAAAAGCTCCAGATCTCCTCAACCACAGTAATTAATCTCAGTCTTGTAAGCAGCTGACAAGCCTTTATCCAAACACAAACAATGATGTTCTTGTAGGGTGGGGTGAGGTGGGGGGGTTGGGTGCGGATGGGTGTTTAGCTTCACTTCTTGCTGTCTTTACCTGAGATTAAAAATTCAAAAGCAACGGGATCAAAGTGGAATTACCAGGCTAAGCCCTTTTGTAACAAAAGCAGAGGTGGGAGATGAAAAGTGTGGAAATTATCTATCTTCGTCCCCCTCTGCAATGCTTGTTAATGTGATTTACACAAAAAAAGGGAGAAAAACAGTGTTTTGGTGACCTTGTTACCATGCAAGTCAGTTTTAATTTACATCAATTTTATGGCAAAAGCTGAGGAAAGATGGTGGCAACATCAAACAGTGAAACATCTCCCTGCAAAAGGATTAGCAAAATTATTTTGGAAACACGATTACTTCCTTCAAAGGAGATGAATGAGAAGATTGAGGTGCCCCTGTGCCTTCGCTGTAGTGCCGTTTTTCTTTTAAAAATTCTTACCCCCCTCAAAAAGTCCTACTGCATGTGCAGCCCTACATTTAATAACTGTTTCCAGAAACTTTTAAAAACCTCAATGTGTGTTTCTTCTTCCGTGTGGTTGTTTGCAGCTCATTTTAAAACCAAACATGGGTTAAATTTGAACTCTTTAGATTTTAAAGTTCATGAAATCAAGTGAAATGTCCTCAGAAGTCTATATTTAACCTTCTCTAAAAAGAAACTACCAAGAAATAATAATTATCTAAGTATTATCTGATTTTATTTTAATGAACATTTATCTTAAGACTGACTGTGACCCCTTAAAGGGTCTATTGGTCTTTTGTCTCCATGTTTATCTTCTTTTGTTGCTGTTTTACATTATTGACAAGAAAAATGGATTAAAAAAAGAAATGAGCTCTGTATGCAAAGTTTAGTTGATTGAGGTTAATGCAAACCAATGCATTCTAATTAATTGATCATCAGCAGAGTGATTGTCTCTATGAAATTAGATGTATTGCTTTGGAGAATGCAGGAGTGCGTTAACACAATGCCAGGCTGGAAAGTTACAGGAAGTGTTGTTGGACCATCTCCAAACTATTTGAAATTCATCCTGCTACAGATTTACAAGTAGTAAACATTTCAGGAGTTGATGACCCTGGAAAGTCATGCTGAGGCAGGTCCGATAGAGGAGAAACTACAGAAGATAAAAGCTACAAACCTAAGCCAGCCAGTTTATCACAGCGTTATAGAAAGAATGGAACAGTACAACATTTTTAAAGGGTTAGAGGAGGAATAATGGCTGCATTTTTCATTCTTACTTACTTAATTGTTAGTTTTCACTCATTTTAATCCTAGGTAAACATAGAATATTGCATTTTATTATGTTATCTAATAAATTTCAGAATCCCTCCTATATTGCATTAATTTACTGTTTACTTTTTCAGCAATATAGCATTATTTTATATGTGCAGGATGTGTAAACTTTGATATGATTTATTTTTAAAAATCATAACAGGAACAATGCAATAGCAGGACTGTGAGAGAAAGGAATGAGGTCAAACATTATTAAACAGAGGAAAGGTGGTGAGAACAGTGGGTGAAAGTGTGTTTGTACTATCATGAGCCTGATAAAAGGAAAGTGACTGCTGCATCATCGCCACTCAAGTCGGTTTTACAAGAAGCTGAATTATGGGATGTACAAACTTTGTCCACACACAACCTTTTCAGTCTGGCTTTAGTTTTACTTAATAATCATTAACAGTTCAGGATCTGCGTTTTCGTGGCTTTGACGTCACATTTCGATGATTTTTGAACCCGATAAAGATCTGTTACTTATTTATTGTCTGGGTTCGTAAAACCATGCATGTATTACCTCATTATTTATGGGTTTATCATGTTCTCATTCATTATATGGTTATTATGTTATTCATTATGAAGACACTCTTTGACTTCTGCGTAAAGCAGAACACATTGAACTTTAACCATCAGCTGAAATGCTTCAATTTGGAAACTTCACTCTTTCTTCAAATGGTAAAAATGGGATTTAATAGGTGCTACATTGGTGACTTTTCAAAGTAAGAATGATGTAACTTTGAAAAGCCACCAATCAAAGTAGGTTTTGTGATTTAAAGATTCATGTGAACTAAATTAGGTCCCAGAATTGGTAGCCGTCTGACTGGAGGAAAGCGAGTAACCCTTTGACCCTCTTTGGGTGTAAGTGTGGTGGAATAGAGGTAAAGAATTATATAACACGGCGTTAGTTTTTAGATTCTTACTGCAATGTATGCAGTGTCTGGAAAAACAAGCATTGCAGTGCAGAGTTGCGTAAGCTCCGTATTTCATGAGACTTCTTTGCTCTTACCTCACTCTTGTCTGTGTTTACATAAGCATGATGCACAGCACTGAATCAGCAAACGGCCAAAA